AGTGGAAACAAATTCACAGGTATTATGTAACTTATTTAAAGACGAACAACTTCGCTACCCACATCTTCTTCATGACTGCAGTTTTCTTCTTGATGCTATTGGAGTGGTAGAAATGACGCATGTGTACCGAGAAGGCAACACTGTAGAAGACACCTTGGCCAAGTATGGAAGCACCAGACAACATATATTAACAGAGGAAGATAACATTATGTACTTGAAAACACCTCCTGCTTTTATTTTACCAGTTTTTATTAAAGACAAATTAGGGAAAACCGCAATGCGGTCTATCCCTATGCTATGTAATAACTAAATTGTTCCTATGCTTTTAAAATAATAGACTCTCCATTCTTCGGCAAAAGAAAAAAAGATGAGAGAAAGCAATGGCAAAGCGAGAAATTTCGTCAAGAATGTTAAGAAGTGTTCCACATTCAATATAATGTATACAAAGTAATATTTGACCTATATACACAGTACAATTCTCAAGCGAAAGGTGTTTAACTGGCCTCCCTTGACCTATGTAGCTCTAGCATTGGGAAAAGTGCAACCAATTTACACGGAATTGTTAGTGTATTTTAAATTCCCTAATACATGGGTGGAACTAGGTAGCGGGAATGAGGTTCAATCTTCGCTGAAAATTACACCGGATAAGATTAAAAAAATTCAATATATATTATAAGGTATTGAATCTCCTTAACATTTTTAGGTATTTACTCTTTTTAAATTTTTTGAATCCCCTTGGTAAAAATCTTGCTTCCACCACTAACTAACGCGAAGCTCTACGTAAACGTTTGATGCAACAATGAATTGAAGCAACAATACTGAGGCCCAAGGAGTCATGTTACATGGCCACCATTTACTGCGGAATTTTTGTAGAATCATCGGGATTGGCAAAGATATATGGTAACTATTGTTCAACCTGTTATGGTTGTCATGACCCGAAATTCCACTTTCGGACCGTGATGGCGCCTAAAATTTCACTTGCTAGGCAAGCCAACGTTAGAATAATATTAT